GTACCGGGAAGTGAGTAGAGAGTAGTGACTGGTGAGTAGTGAGTAGTGAGTAGTAAGTAGTGCGTAGTGAGTAGTGAGAAGTGACTAGTGGGTGGGAAGGAGTGAGTAGTGGTTAGTGAGTAGTTTGTAGTGAGTGATCAGTAGGCAGTATTGAGCAGCGAGTTCTGAGTAGTGAGTAGTGAGTACGGTGTAGTGAGTACTGAGTAGTGAGTCGTGAGTATCGAGTCGCGTGTAGGGAGTAGGGAGTAGGGAGTAGTGAGTGGTGAGTAATGAGATGTGACAGGTCGTGGCGAGTATTGAGTGGTGAGTATCGGGTAGTGAGTACCGGGAAGTGAGTAGAGAGTAGTGAATGGTGAGTAGTGAGTAGTGAGTAGTAAGTAGTGCGTAGTGAGTAGTGAGAAGTGACTAGTGGGTGGGGAGTAGTTAGTAGTGGTTTGTGAGTAGTTAGTAGTGAGGGAGGAGTAGGCGCTATTGAGTGGCGGGTAGCGAGTAAAGAGTAGCGAGTACTGAGTAGTGAGTAGTGAGTACTGTAGAGTGAGTACTGAGTAGTGCGTAGTGAGTATCGAATCGTGTGCAGTGAGTAGGGAGTCGGGAGTAGTGGGTGGTGAGTAGTGAGTATTGGGTGGGGAATAGTGAGTGTTGAGTAGCGAGTACCGAGTAGGGGGTAGCGAGGAGTGAGAAGTAAGTACTGTGTAGGGAGTAGCGCGTAGAGAGTAGTGACTAAGTAGTCAGTACTGAGTAACGAGTAGGGAGGTAGTGGGTAGAGAGTAGTGAGTAGTGAGTGGTGAGTAGTGAGTAGTGAATTGTGTTCAGTGAGTATTGAGTAGTGGGCAATGAGTAGTGCGTAGTGAGTTGCGAGCAGTGAGTATAGAGTGGTACTTGGCGAGTAGGAATTAGTGAGTAGGATGCATCGAGTAGTGAACTGTGAGTAGTGAGTAGTAAGTAGTGGGTGGGGAGTAGTGAGTATCGAGTAGCGAGTACCGAGTAGGGAGTAGCGAGTAGTGAGCAGCAAGTACAGTGTAGGGAGTAGGGAGTAGAGAGTAGTGGATACTGAATGCTGAGTAATGAGTAGTGAGTAGCGATTCGTGAGTAGTGGATTGTGAATAGTCAGTAGTGGGCAGTGATCAGTGCGTAGTGGGTAGTGAGCAATGAGTATAGAGTAGTGAGTAGTGAGTAGTCAGTAGGAAGCACCGAGTAGTGAGTAGTGGGTAATGGGTAGTGGGTAATGAGTAGTCTGTCTGTCTAGTACTGTGTGGGGCTAGGGTCAGGGGTTGGGTTCAGCGCTTGGATTTACGGGGAGCATTCGGGGTAGGTGTGGTAGGGGGGGGCGGATTCTGAGCCAGGGGGCGGCGTGGCAAAAGGGGGGGAAGGGGGAGTGTCAAGCTAGGTGCGCTCGCGTCATATCTGACATCCTACCCCTCCCTCCCATCCCTTACCATGGCGCAGATCCCCTCTCTACTCGCACAGTCGGGCGTCGAGCAGGGCAACGATCCCGAAAGGGTACGCGATGCATTGTAGAGCACGGCGTGGCATGGCGTAGAAGAGCACCGCAAAACGCAGTATCAACCGATCATTGCATTGCATGCCGTGGCATGGCACGGGAAATGACGCCAGCGCTGCAGCGGGAGCACGAGTCGAAACGAGCGGAAGCGCAGAAATGAGGCCAGCGCTGCAGCGGGAGCACGATTCGGAACGAGCGGAGGCACGGACATGAGGCCAGCGCTGCAGCGGGAGCACGATTCGGAACGAGCGGGGCCCGAAAATGAGGCCGGCGCCTCAGCGAGAGCAGCATTTTGAAAAAATGCAGGCGAAAACCCAACTCCGGGGAAACCTGTGTGTAAAAAAACAGTACGCGGGGGGGTCGGACATGTTCAAACCGTCATCAAGGGGAGAGGGAAAATAGTAGTCATATTGAATAATTGTCGAATTTCGAACCCAAGGGGGGGGGGGGGTCGGACCCCCCCCCCCTTTTGAAAGGTGCGGGGAGGGGGTCCCCGACGACGGACCGGGGAACGGGGATGGGGGGGCTTCCCATTGACGGATCAAGGGAAGGAAGGTGGGGGTCCGAACCCACCCTTTGCGGGCATCCAGCGCCGCGCTCTCCCTATGATGCTCGTATGGTTTTCTACTTCTACTACCACTACTACCACTACTACTACTACTACTACTGCTGCTACTACTACGAGTACTACTACTACTACTACTACTGCTACTACGAACACTACTACTACTATTATTACTACTACTACTACTTTTTACTACTACTACTACTACTACGACTACTACTACTACTACTACTACTGCTACTACTACTACTACTACGACTACGACTACGACTACGACTACGACTACTACTACTACTACTACTACTACTACTACTACTACTCCTACTACTACTACTACTCTTAATACTCCTCCTCCTACCACTACTACCACAACTACTACTGTTACTACTTCTACTACTACTACTACTACTACTACTACTACTACTACTACTATTACTACTACTACTACTACTACTATTACGACTACTACGATTACCACTACTACTACTATTACTACTACTAGTACTAGTACTACTACTACTACTACTACTACTACTACTACTACTACTAGTACTGCTACTACCGCGACTAGTACTACTACTACTAATAGTAATACTACTACCACCACCACTACCACTACGAGTAGTAGTACTAGTAGTTGTAGTATTACTACTAGGTAGTAATAATACGAATGCCAATATTGATACCACTACTAGTACTAGTACTGGTACTACTACTACTACTACTACTGCTACTACTACTACTACCACGGCGACTACGACTACTTCTATTACTTCTACTATTACTTTCATTACTACATCTAATACTCTTGTCATTACTACTACTCCTGCTCCTCCTACTACTACTACTAGTCTTAACACTATCACTTTCACTACTACTACGACTACCATTACTACTACTACTACTTGTACTACTACTACTACTACTACTACTACTACTACTACTACTACTACTATTAATAATACTACTACTGCTGCTGCTACTACTACTACAACAACTACTACTACTACGACGGCGACTACACTACTAATATACGTATTAGTACTGCTACTACCACCCCTACTATTACTACTACTACTACTACTACTACTACTACCACTACTACGGTTACTATCACTAGTGCTACTACCTCGACGATAACTATGACGACTATTCTTACTTCAACGACTACGACCAACACAACCACCACCACCATTATGAGTATGATTAATTCTTTACTAAGATGATGATTATTATTACTACTACTACGAATGGTACTACTACGACTACTACTGCCACCATTATCTCCCACTATTACTACTACGACAACTACTACTACAACTACTACTGCTACTACTACTACTACTACTACTACTACGGCCACGACTACTACGACTACGGTGACTATTTCGACAACTGTTACCACTACGACTACTACTACTACTACTTCTACTACTATTACTACTACTACTACTACTACTACTACTGCTACTATTACTACTACTACTACTACTACTACTACTACTACTACTACTACTACTCTTACTCTTACTACTACTACTACTACTACTACTACTACTACGACTACTACTACTACTACTACTTCTAGTTCTACTACTCGTACTACTACTGCTAGTGCTACTACTGCTACTACTACTACTACGGCTACAACGACTACGGCGACTACGACGACTACGACGACTATCACTACTATTACTGTTACAACTACTACTGCTACTACTACTACTACTTCTACTTCTACTACTACTACTACTACTACTACTACTACTACTACTACTACTACTATTACTACGAGCTACGACTATTATCGGTACTACCACCACCACAATACGGAAATATGAAGGACGGGGACGCACTCGTGGTTGTTATCGTTGTCGTTGTCGTTGTTGTCGCCACGGTGAAGACATTATCCCCTCTATTGCTGAGTGGGCTTGATCAAATTGGAGAATCCTTTCTCCCAGGGAACAATCCATTGTCGGCCACCTACACGTGAGAGGATTTGTGAGCATCTTCTTATCAGGATGGCAATAGGAATCAGCCGTTGCGTTTGTATCCTTGATTGGGATTGTTGTTATACTTCTGATTGCAATCGTGCTTATAGTCGCGATTACAATCGCAATCGTCGTCGCGGTTGTAGTCTTAATCGAAGTCGTAATCTCAGTCGTAGTCGTAAGCGTCATCGTCGTCGCGGCGGAGATATTGTTGCGCGGGCTGGATCATGTTGGGGGGTCGTTCTCCCAGAGAATCACGCTCCCTGGGCGACCGTGCGCGACAGAGGACTTTCAAACACGTTTGCAAGACGATTGCAGCATATACCCACCGATTTCTCGCCGAAAGTGTTGCTCACAGTCTCATATTTCATCTCGTCGTCGTCGTTGTTGCGCGGCGGCTGCCGCCGAGAAATATTCATTGTCCACCACTGGTGGGGCCACAGCCCGTCAATATTGGCGAGAACACGAGCTAGTTTCCAGTATTTTTCGGGGGGAATCTAAAGATGTAGCGCGGTTCAGGGGAGCGGGCCGATCGTCCGTCCAGACCTCCACTCCGAAACGAGAAGCGTGAGGGGTGACCTCCACTCCACCATCGTCCCACGACGCGCGCTGCACGCACTGTGATCGTGTTCCTCTTTACCACCAAGGCAGCTTTTACACCCATGTGCGGCTGTATGCTACACGGCTGAAAGCGTGAACTGGCTCCGTTCTCCTCCTCGCCCCACCCCCTCCCTCCACCCTGTCACCTCCCCTCCCTTCCCACCTCCCCCCTTCCTTCTGTGTCGTTGTCCTGCTCCTTCCCCTGGCCGCCAAATCCCGCTCCCAAGAGGAGAATGAGGAGGAGGAGGAGGAGGAGGAGGAGGAGGAGGAGGAGGAGAAGGAAGATCATGAGGAGAAAAAAGGAGGAGGGGGAGGAGGAGGAGATCCCCCCCCTCCCCCGAAGGCTTCGACACCTGCTGCCGAGCCTGCGCCAAGGGCAAGGCGCCCCCGCACGACCACGACTGCGGCGATGCCGACAAGGAGCGCCATCGGAGGGGCTCTCCTCGCGCCTGCGCGCGCCGCTCGGCGACGTTTTTTTTTGCTGCCTCGGCGGCGGGAGGAGGCAGAAGGAGAGCTCGGAGGGAGGAGGAGGAGGAGGAGGAGGAGGAGGAGGAGGAGGAGGAGGAGGAGGGGGAGGAGGGGGAGGGGGAGGAGGAGGAGGGGCGGAGGGGAGGAGGAGGAGGAGGAGGAGGAGGAGGAGGAGGAGGAGGAGGAGGACGGGGCACGCGGCGAGGGCTGTGCTCCTGCGCGGGGGCAGGCACTAGGGCTGGAGCGAGAGCTGCCTCCCTTCGCGCCCCCCCGTCCTCTCCCGCCCTCCTCCAGCAACGGTCGCTCCCGAGGGATCGCTGCCGTGCGCTGGGGGAGTGCGCCGGCTCGCAGCCAAGCTTCGCGCGAAGGGCCCCCGCGCTCTCTCTCTCTCTCTCTTTGCCTCCATGTGCCCCCCCCCCCCCCCCTCTGCCCCCATTCCCCTGTGCCCTTTCTCCCTCCATGCATTCCTCCCTCCTGCCGCTACCCCGCGCCTTCGCCCCCAGGCGGTCTCAGACGACGGGGGCTCTGGCGCAGAGGACTGCCAGGGATGCAGGGGGGGAGGGATCAGGGCAGTCCTGCCTTCGATGGACGCTGTTTTCAGACGTGTGAGGGGACGTCTCATGCATTATCAGGTGGTTCCTGAACTCCTCAAACCCACCCCTCCACTGCAATAGTGTTTTGTATGGGGTCTTTCCTGGCAAAGGGGCGGGAAGAGCGAGTTCACATCGTCGAGACTCAGTACAGTAGCTGCTGGTCTTCTACTGGCTCATCGTCAAAGGCTCCGAACATTTTCAGGGCGGGGCTCGGTGGCTGTTGACACCGATTTCTAGCTCACTCGTATCGAGGCGCATCGTTATGTGGGATGCCTACATGTCTGACAATCTGACACCGCCAGGCCGCTGCCCCCGCTGTGGTATTTGCAGGATGGGTAATGCGACCCTTCCCGCTTTATTAATTCCCTAATTTGACGTCGCCTGCGTAAGGGGGTCCAGCTATTTGCCCAGTAGGACCAGTTGTTTAAAATAATGAATCCCGCCGCTGACTCTGTTTTGATCAGTGTTGTCTGAATATTATTGGTTGCATTTGCAAAGCAGCGCGAATCCAATATCCACACGCAGCAACATGCTATGGTAAGCCATACTGTGCCGTGGTACGCTGTGTCGTGGTACCAACTTTATACAATGTTGTGCCATGCAGTCGTACATGTGTTGTTGTGCGCTACGATATGCTATTATATACGGTCGTATGCTTTACACTGCAAGGCGATGGTTTGCCGTGGTTTGCTACACGATGCAATGATATGCTAGATTGTGCGGTGAGACGCTGCGGTGTGTTATACTAGAGTGTGTTATGCCTGACACGGTTATAGTGGGACCGATTTTACGCATTGCTTTGGCACATGTTGGCCAGATTGCCATGCTACGTGATGCATGCTCGCAGTGAGATGCATTGGCAAGTTGTATTGCAGACCAGGGCGCTATGCGATGCCACCACATGGTATGCTGCGTTCTACTCCAATTAGTTTGGTGTTGCTGGTTGTGCTATCATGGTATGCAGTGTTATGCTAAAATCTCATTCTCGACGTGGTGTTGCGCATGACATTGCAATGCCATGCTGCTCCATGGTTCGATGTCGAACGAACGCTATGTCATACCAGTATGAGCCATGCTGCGCTGTGCCCGTCAATTCTACACAGTGCTGCTATGCCATGGTCGACCAATCGGTGTTGGCTCGTGCCTGATATGACATTGATGTCCCGTGGTTTGTATAGCATTACATATTGCGTTGCAAACGTACGCCTCAAGGTTGCGCCGTATGCATGTAGTGTTTGACCACATGCTACTTGTTGCGGAGCTTGCAATTGTGTTGATTGTAGGAGTGGCTCTGCATCATGTTACTCCGGCGCTTTCGCTTGAATTTCAGATGTCGCCCTAATGTCTGCATAGCCTGCATGGCAACTTCCCAGCACTACGAACCCAAGCTATGTGATCAATACCGAGATTCGTCATAGCCCAGTCTGGAAGCTTTGCAACTTGCCCAAGCTTGAATTCTGCAAGTCGATGAAGAACAGTTGAAGGGGTAGAGCTTGTAATGCACGGCCAGCTTGGTTGCCGCGGTTTTCTCGCACTAGCCTGCCCAATAGTAGTTCCGCGAAGTGTGTGTGTGTGTGTGTGTGTGTGTGTGTGTGTCCCGATTCACCTTGATGAGTATGTGTATTGAAACGTTTTCAGTACATGTCAGGGCAATAATGGTTGTAAGATCTGGTTAAATTGCCATCAACGTGATGAAACAAAGCGCTGCCTGACCATGGGGCGCGGATCACCTCGGAACACCTTTCTGTCTCTGTCCCGATTGTTCTAAATGGTGGGTGGGTGGGGGGGTCAGGGGGGTATTGGTACGCCCCAGGACGACATCGAGCCGACGGAGCATGTGATGCTGAGATCGGATTCGTATGAAGGAGGCGAGAGGAAGGACTTGCTCCTGCTGCTCTTGCTCGTCCTTTTTTCCCCCAACCCTCCTTGGTTGGGTATTCGTTTTGAATAGAGCACTGCTCGCGCGTCCTTCCTCCCGCCTCCGCCCTCCTCCTGCCCTCTCTTCGCCGTCGCTGGGGGGCTGCGATCTGCAAAACTGTCGCCACTTTCGAGGGCTGCTGGTGGGTCCAGCGGAATGAGGGGCACCGCGCAGATCTGAGCGAGACCTCGCCGTCTCTGAGGGGCTGCGATCTGCGAAGCCGTCGCCGCTTTCGAGGGCTGCTGGTGGGTCCAGCGGTGTGAGGCACCGCGCAGATCTGAGCGAGACCTCGCCGTCCCCTGGGTGGGGGCTGCGATCTGCGAAACCGTCGCCACCATTTTCCAGGGCTGCTGGTGGGTCCAACGGACTGAGGCACGGCGCAAATCTGAGCGAGACCTCGCCGCCCATGGTGTGCTGCGATCTGCGAAACGGTCGCCACATTCGAGGGCTGCTGGTGGGTCCAGCGGAGTGAGTCACCACGCAGATCTGAGCGAGACCTCGCCGTCCCTGGGGGGGGGGCTGCGATCTGCGAAGCTGTCACCATTTCGAGAGCTGCTGGTGGGCCCAGCGGAGTGAGGCACCGCGCAGATCTGACCGAGACCTCGCCGTCCCTGGAAGGCTGCGATCTGCGAAACGGTCGCCGCTTTCGAGGGCTGCTGGTGCGTCCAGCAGAGTGAGGCACAGCGCAGATCTGAGCGAGACCTCGCCGTCCCTGGGAGGGGGGGGCTGCGATCTGCGAAATTGTCGCCACATTCGAGAGCTGCTGGTGGGTCCAGCGGAGTGAGGGGCACCGCGCAGATCTGAGCGAGACCTCGCCGTCCCTGGGAAGGGGGGGGGCTGCGATCTGCGAAGCCGTCGCCACTTTTCGATGGCTGCTGGTGGGTCCAGCGGAGTGAAGCACCGCGCAGATCTGAGCGAGACCTCGCCGTCCCTGGGAGGATGCGATCTGCGAAGCTGTCGCCACTTTCGAGGGCTGCTTTTCGGTCCATCGGAGTGAGGCACAGCGCAGATCTGAGCGAGACCTCGCCGTCCCTGGGGGGGGCTGCGATCTGCGAAGCCGTCGCCGCTTTCGATGGCTGCTGGTGGGTCCAGCGGAGTGAGACACCGCGGCACCGGGCAGATCTAAGCGAGACCTGGCCGCCCCTGGAGGGGGGGGGACTGCGATCTGCAAAATTGTCGCAACCATTTTCCAGGGCTGCCGGTGGGTCCAGCGGAGTGAGGCAACACGCAGATCTGAGCGAGACCGACCTCGCCGTTCCTGGGGGGACTGCGATCTGCGAAACTGCCGCCACTTTCGAGGGCTGCTGGTGGGTCCAGCGGAGTGAGGCACCGCGCAGATCTGAACGAGACCTCGCCGTCCCTGGGGGGGGGCTGCGATCTGCGAAGCTGTCGTCGCTTTCGAGGGCTGCTGGTGGGTCCAGCGGAGTGAGGCACCGCGCGAATCTGAGCGAGACCTCGCCGTCCCTGTCGCGGTTTTCGAGGGATGTTGATGGGCCCAGCGGGGCGAGGAACCGCGCGGATCTGAGCGAGACCTCGCCGTCCTTAAGGGGGCAGCGATCTGCGAAACTGTTTCCATTTTCGCGTGCTGCTGGTGGGCCCAGCGGAGTGAGGCACGGTGCAGATCTGAGCGAGACCTCGCCGTCCCTGGGGGGCTGCGATCTGCGAAGCCGTCGCCACTTTCGAGGGCTGCTGGTGGGTCCAGCGGAGTGAGGCACCGCGCAGATCTGAGCGGGACCTCGCCATCCATGGGGGGCTGCGAACCTCGCGAATGCCGCTCGCAGAATTATATGCGCCCATGTCACGTCATAACCTCTGTATCACGTGTCCCAGGCTACTCGTGCCCAACATTGCGCAGGGGTTGGGTAAGTCGCCAGGGTAATTTCCCAACCATCCTGTGGTGTTGGGTCCTCGTTTTGCAGACACGGTCCCCGCGTCCCTCCTCTCCTCTTCTCCTCTCCTCTCCTCTCCTCTCCTCCTCTCCTCCCCCTCCTCCTTTCCCCTCTCTCATTTCGTCACTTTCTCACTTTGGCACACCCCTCACACGTTTCGTGGCCCCGTGGAGAGTTCTACGCGAGGTCCAAGTGGCGCAGTTCGCATGGCGGTGCCGCCCCATTTTGGCACACCCCTTACACGTTTCGCGGCCCCATAGGGAGCTCCATCTAAGTTCCCAGTGGCGCAGTTCGCATGGCGGCGCCGCCCAGTTTCGGCACACCCCTCACACGTTTCGTGGCCCCTATAGGAAGCTCCACCTAATGTCCTAGTGGCGCAGTTCGCATGGCGGCGCCACTCCATTTTGGCACCCCTCACACGTCTCGTAGCCCCAGACGAAGCTCCATCTAAGGTCTCAGTGGCGCAGTTCGCATGGCGGCGCCGCCCAATTTCGGCACACCCCTTACACGTTTCGTGGCCCCATAGGGAGCTCCACCTAAGGGCTCCATGGCGCAGTTCGCATGGCGGCACTGCCCCATTTTGGCACACCCCTCACACGTTTCGTGGCCCCAATGGAGTTTCACCTGAGGGCCCAGTGGCGCAGTTCGCATGACGGCGCCGCCCCATTTTGGCACACCCCTCACACGTTTTCGTGGCCCCTGTGGAAGCTCCACAGAATGTCCCAGTGGCGCAATTCGTGTACCGGCGCCGCTCCATTTTGGCACACCCCTCACACACTTCGTGGACCCATAGGGAGCTCCACCGAAGGTCCCACTGGGTGTGCCCGCATGCGTCGCCCACACCCATTTCGGCACACCGCTCGCACGCTTCGTGGCCCCATAGGGAGCTCCACCGAAGGTCCCAGCGGGTGTGCTTGCATGCGTCCCCACACATTTGGGCACACCCCGCGGCCAGCTCCACCGAAGGCCCCATTGGCGCAGCTCGCGGATGAGGGAGGAGGAGGAGGAGGAGGAGGAGGAGGAGGAGGAGGAGGAGGAGGAGGAGGAGGAGGAGGAGGAGGAGGAGGAGGAGGAGGAGGAGGCGGCCCCCCCTCAGCACTGCGAGCGCCGACCATGTCCAGGGGTCCGACCGCTTCCGCGACAGGCCACGTTCCCGCTCCAGGGCAGGTGGGCCAGCGGGAGTCGCGTCGAACCCCGAGCTTGGAGGATTGAGGTTTGAAGTTGTCCAGCCTTGGGGGAGGGCGTTCGTTTCATCGCCGCGGCCGACCGCAGCTCGAACAAATGGTCTGTTCAGATTACTGGGGGACATTAATGGATGGAGTTTCAAGTCGCCTTCTCGGCGGCCTCCGTTTGTTGTCGTTGTCTCAGTATTCAGGTGTCGTGGCTGATGCTGTGAATATGCGAGATTGTGTAGCGGCGACGCCGCGATTCGATCGTCACTTTCGAGTCGCTTGCTCGTCGCTTGCTCGTCCGTTGCTGCTCGTCGTTTGCTCGTCGTTGGCCCAGTGGCTCGTCGTTTGTTCGTTGCTGCGGGCGCGCGGGCGTATTCGCGCGCTCGCGACCTGCGCGATCGCGCCGACGTCTGTGCGCGTCGTCCGGCGGCGACTTCGGGCGGATCCTCTCCTGCGATTTGTTCGCTGAACTTCGAACTTCGAGGCTCGACGAGGCGTTTCGTCGTTTTCGGCCTCTGGTGGCCGTCTGCGGGCCCCCGGGTCGTCAGAGACTGATCTGGGGCGAGCCCGGGGACTGACATTGACCCGATGTCGGTCACCCCGGAGGAGGAGGAGGAGGAGGAGGAGGAGGAGGAGGAGGAGGAGGAGGAGGAGGAGGAGGAGGAGGAGGAGGAGGAGGAGGAGGAGGAGGAGGAGGAGGAGGAGGTGAAGGAGGTGGAGAAGGAGGGCGACTGCGACGGCGACGGCGACGACAACGACGACAACGACGGCGGCGGCGACGGCAACGACGACGACGCAGACGTCTGCCGTAAGAGCCACCTTGTTGGGTCCACGTCTTCGACGCGGCGACGACGGCGACGGCGATGACCGACGAAGGCGACGACGGAAGACGGACGACGACGACGACGACGACGACGACCGACGGCCGACGGCTTACCGACGAGCTACGACGATTGCCGGCGACTGCCGCCCCGGCGTTGCTGGCAGGCATCGCGCCCCCCCCCTCCGCGGCAGGGCCGTCGCCGCGGCGGCGCGCCGGGGGCGCGCCGTGCGAGAAGGCGACGGGGCGAGCGGGCGGCGCCCCCTGGCAGTCTACGGCCGAATCGACTGGGCGCGAGCGGTCCGTGGCCAGAACTTCTTTCGGTCCTGTGGACTCGCGTTGGGCCGTCGGCTGTCCGGCGCGCTGCCCCCTCTCGGTCGACGTCGCCCAGGCGTGATCCTGGACTGCGGCCGCCACGAGGTCGGTAACGGCAAGATGGAGGACGACGACTGGTGGCTGGAGCTCCACGCGCTGCTCTCGCGCGCCACCCGCCACGAGGACCTCCTGCTCATGCGGGCGCGAGTTCTTCTTGGCGGGGCCGCCGGAGGGGTCGCGGAAACAGCTGGGGCAGTTCGTTGCGCGCGCGAGGCGGCGCAGGAGGGAGGCGACGGCCTTCGCCAGGGAGCCGGGCTTCACTGAGTTTTTGTCGCGAGGTTCGACCTGCGGAGCGACCCGCCCGAGCCGCGCCTTCTCTTGACTGCCCAACTGTTTGGCATCGCGCCGCGGACGACCCGCGCGCGTCGCTGGGGCACTCCCGGGGCAACCGGCGCGCGTCGCGGGAACTCCGCGCGGCGTTCTGCCCGGCGCCTCGCTTGCCCGTCGTCGCTCTGCCCAGCGGCAGGATCCCTGCCCGCCATCAGCCAGCCAGCTAGCTCTCTATGCCCCGCGCCGCCGACGACCCGCGCGCGTCGCTGGGGCCATCCCGGGGCGACCGGCGCGCGTCGCGGGAACTCCGCGCGGCGCTTTGCCCAGCACCTCGTTCGCTCGTCGTCGCTCTGCCCAGCGGCCGGATCTTTACCCGCCGTCGGCCAGCCAGCTAACTCTCTTTGCTCCACGCACCGGACGGCCCGCGCGCGTCGCTGGGACCACTTCGGGGCGACCGGCGCGCGTCGCGGCGACTTCGCGCTGCGCTGCGCCTGCGGCCTTGGACTTTGAAGTAGAAGGACCAGGGAGAGAAGCAGGCGTGATCCTCGCGGGGGACGCGCCGACATGGGCGTCGCGGCCCGCGGGCGCAGCCGTCGGGGTTCCCGAGGGAGCCCCCTGCGGCAACCGCGCTCAATGCCACGAGCGCTCAGAGCCAGGCGTGCCCGAGCTGTTCACAGTCATTTGCGTTTGCACTAGGCGTAGCCATGCTCGCATTCATGCAGATGGACTCGCTCGCGCGCATACTCATTTACAATCAGACCCAGTCGCGCTCAGACACTCACCCGCGCTCAGTCTTTCGTAGCCCGACCTATCGTCTTCGCTCGCGTTGTGTACCCCGCCAAGCATGTCGGCGCGCCCCGCGTGCGGTTCTCGGCCCCAGAAGGAGCGCCACCGAAAACAATTATCACAATTTCGGTAGAATCACAAACGCACATGGTTGGGTCACTCGCCATGAAAATTTGCCCCGTGCCCCCTCCCAGTTCCAGCCCCGCCTCCATCCGATCGTCGTCCTCCTCTTCCTTTGATTTCCTTTCTCCTTTCCCGCCCTGTTCTCCTGCGATTCCCGCTCCTCCTCCTTTCCATTATCTCGCTTTTTTTCTGCTATACATCTATATATATATATATATGTATACACACATACATACATACATACATACATACATACATACATACATATGTATAGGCATGTGTGTGTTCGTTTTTTCATATATGTGTATGTATCCCTTTCACTAGTTCTCCCTTGTTCTCTATCGTTTTTTGTTTTTCCATGTTTGCTGTTGTTGACGATGTTCATGTTGTTGTTGTTTTGTTGTGTGTGTCTCTCTCTCTCTCTTTCTCTATGTCTCTCTCTCTCTCTTGCTCTCGCTTTTTCGCTCTCTCGCTCTCTCTCTCTCTCTCTTTCTCTCTCGCTCTCCGTCTCGCTCCCTCTTGTTTTTTTTGTTTCTCTCTCTCTCTCTCTAGTGTTTCCTTCTCTTTCTCTCTCTCTCTATTCCTCTCTCTCTCTTTCTCTCTCTCTCTCTCGCTCTTTCTCTGTCTCTCTCTCTCTCTCTTTCCCTTTGTTTCTCTCTCTCTCTCTTTCTCTCTCTCTCTCTCTCTTTCTCGTTCCCTCTCGGTTTAACCCCCCATTCTTTTCCGCTATCATATGTGTATGTGTGGATTACTGTTTTTCTCTCTCTCTCTCTCTCTTTCTCTCTCTCTCTCACACTTTCTCTTTATCTTCCTCTAGTACCTCTCCCGACCGCGTTTTTTTTAAATTCCGCGGTGTGATTGCCGTCGATTGGAGGCCCTCCCTTGACGGACCCCATATTCCGCGAGTGCCGAAATGTGGAACGACATCGTATTGATCTGATTCGCCTGTGGTATTGTTTGTTTTCAAAGCGCTTGCGCGTTGTCACCACTTTGCTTTCACGATATCACGGGTTGGCAGGGCGTCCTGATTAGCATCAGTATGTGCGTGTCGCAGATTTACGTGGTTGTTATTTTTTGGTCCCTCCGCCATGTGACACAACTCGTTTCTGAGTGAACTCGGAGTGTGAGGGCGCTGCCATATCGTGTGCACCTTCATCGCGCTGTTCCGCGACACGGCTGTCGAACATTCAATAGGGGGACCCCCGGCGGGCAATTCAGGGATCTCGCCGTGCACGGTCAAGTGCCAGAGTGATGAAACGCGTCGTTTTGTTTAAGTTCCTCCTCGGACATCTCGTCGTTCCAAAGTGCATGCCCGCCTCTGTCTCGGAGCTCGTCCCGACGAGCACGTACATTACGGTCACACATATTGTGGGACTTTTGGACACTCTCCAAACGCAGCCCCATGCTCCTCAGCACCTCCTTCCCTCCCTCCTCCTTTCTCCATGCGTTTCACCCACCCAGCACAGCGCTTCGTGGCCCCATAGGGAGCTCCAACGAAGCCCCCAGTGGGACCGCCCGCATGCGTCCGCCACCACCCAGCACAGCCCTTGCTCCCTGCGTTTCGCCCACCCAGTACAGCGTTTCGTGGCCCCATAGATGTCTCCACCGAAGGTGCCAGTGGCACCGCCCGCATGCGTCCGCCACCACCCAGCACAGCCCGTGCTCCCTGCGCTTCGCCCACCCAATGCAGCGTTTCGTGGCCCATAGGGAGCTCCACCGAGGGTCCCAGTGGCACCGCCCGCATGCGTCCGCCACCACCCAGCACAGTCCTTGCTCCCTGCGTTTCACCCACCCAGTACAGCGCTTCGTGGCCACATAGGGGGCTCCACCGAAGGTCCTAGTGGCACCGCCCGCATGCGTCCGCCACCACCCAGCACAGCCCTTGCTCCCTGCGTTTCGCCCACCCATTACAGCGTTTCGTGGCCCATAGGGAGCTCCACCGAAGGTCCCAGTGGCACCGCCCGCATGCGTCCGCCACCACCCAGCACAGCCCTTGCTCCCTGCGCCTCACCCACCCAGTACAGCGTTTCGTGGCCCCAGAGATGGCTCCACCGAAGGTCCCAGTGGCACCGCCCGCATGCGTCCACCACCAGTACAGCGTTTCGTGGCACCATACGAAGCTCCACCGAAGGTCCCAGTGGCACCGCCCGCATGCGTTCCCCCCACCCAGTGCAGCGTTTCGTGGCCATATAGGGACCGAATAATATATTCACACTTGCGGTACCCACGACTGCATATGGTTGGGTCTTTCGTCCGGATAATTTTCTGCTCCGCTGCTATCACTGGGTGTGTCGTCTCCGACTCCCGCTCCAGCCTGCTCCGTCGCCTGCTGGACACCACATGTTGCCCACATCTGATCCGGCTCCTGCTCCGTCAATGTCGCCTGTCTGTATGGCTGTACAGACGGACGAACAGTTGTAAGTAATGATGGTGTCATTATGGCTCTCATATGGCCTTCAGCTTAGCTTCCCAAATGCGCCCCTCCTTTCGTGTCAGATCTCCTAGTTGAGGTCGTGCCGTGCTCTTTCTTCAGGTACCTCCAGCTGCGGATGTTTCGTAAGTTTTGTTGTTGTGACCGCTGGCCCCTGGACATGGAGGGCGGGCGGGAAGGATAGACGGATGTGGGAAGTAGGGAGGGTGGAGGGACGGGGGAGAGAGAGAGAGAGAGAGAGAGAAGGAAAGAATCAGGGTACAGCTTTGTCTGGTCTACCAGGACTGGAACGTCGGAGGCTACATCGTCCTGGCTTGGTACACGGATCGAAGGGAGCAAGAGGGCTCGTCCGCGTGATCGTCGATCTCTTTGACCGACATCTCCTTGCTTTGCCTCTCATATCATTTTGGCGCGAGGCCCGCCTCGTGCTTGTGCGACGTGCTTGCCATTCCCGGATGTTGGATGTTGGATGCTGTAACGGGTTGAGGAAAGGAATGTCTCCATTGCATGGCCTCCTGGAGCTTGCTTGGCGCGCCGCTGCATTGAAGAGCGTTGTTGTGCTGCAGGCTCTCTCTAGGCTGCTTTTCTTTTCGCTTCGCAAGAATATTTGTCCAGATTGCGATTCGGGGGTGATCTCGTGGCTGGCCTTCGAGAGACAGAGAGCACACGACTGGCGGTGAATACCCCACGGTACAGGCGTTGGGTGTCTTGTGGTGGGCCTAGGTCTCGCCTCGTCCGACTTCCTCGGCGAACGCGAGCTCCACGCCGTGGAATCTGTTGCCGTGCCTTCCTGCAGCTCGTCGGGTGGCGTGGTATAGTGTTGCGCCCGCAGGCTTGGGTCGACGTGCCGAGTCTTTGGGAGTCGTCGGCGCTTCGTGTTGCCAGGTGGACGCTCTCAGGAAGTTGGTGGGGCCCTATTCACCGCCCACCAAACCACCCCAACCCAACCCGAAGGGTCAGATTTACCCTCGATTTCTAGTGGGGGGGGTCCAGGAACATAGAAAAAACACATATGGAGCCCATACCCCCCCCCAACCCGAAATTCGGGTCTTCGGGTTGGGTTGGGGTGGTCTGGTAGGCAGTCACCTATGGCATGGGCGGGGGTGAACAAAAAAAACCCGCGGGGGAGAAAAAAACCGGAGGTGCATCGCGCGCTGCACGGCACGCGCGTGGGACACCGCAGCCTTTTGGCCCAGAAGAGGACCTGGAGTCCGAAATGCGTCGCCAGCTAGAAGTGGTTGAGATCGGTAATGCACCGAGTGATGACCGCGGCCACCCGCGTGTCGAATGGATGGACTTTGTGATGCGCACCTCTGAAGGGCAGCTTTAGTGGCTTGGGACCAGCCTTCATTGCACTCGACCGCCTATCTGAGCACAGCCCTCGTGTTGGGTGGCCTGCCCTTTGTTACCGTGCAGGTGGTGCGCACGGATCGATGCTGGATTGTCGATGCTGTCATGCGGCGGCTGTACTTGCAATCCTTGCGGTGCAGCTTCGGCCTCCCAGGGTCGGAATGTCTTGGGCCTGTAGAATGCTGGCCTTTGCTGCCCCGGCTGCGCAGGAGTCCAGCTGCAGCCCGACGCGTTCGAATCTTGTGGGGTAGTACCTCAGCCTCGCTTGCGCTGCCTGGCTCGCACCGGGGTGTTTTGCTGAGCAGTGCCTGGGCCCGACGGTACTGAAGTGGCTTGCTTGCGTCGTTCAGTTGGGCCACTGCTGGTTTTGCCGTCCCCTCCTCGTGCACTACCTGTCCTTATTTTCCTCCTCTTCTCCCTGCGCTCACCTCCTCCTTTTCCTGCCCTTCTTCCTCCAACTGATTTGTTTTGCTTTCTGGGCGCTCATGCGCGCTCCTGCTCACTTCGAGCCGCTGACGAGAGTCCAGCGTATCGGGGAGTCCCTTAGAGTCCAGGCCTGCGCAAAGCCCAGCTATTACTTTTGCTCACCTCGCGCTCGAGTAGATGGCGACTCGTGTTCGTGCAAGGCCGCTCTTGTGCAAGGGAAGCTCGGGGAGATGATGCAGCGCGCCTAGGTTTTTGAGAGCAAGCTGCTTTGACGTAGACCCGATTGTGCGCCTACCCTCTCTGACCCCTCCCAGTACTCACCCTTCTCCTCACCGTGCTGACCGTGCTCCCTGGGCCCTGCGCTCCCTCCGGGCTCCGCGCCCACGAGCGTGATCCACCGCCTGCCGGATCCGCTCCCAGCCTCAGGCACGGGACGCGCGCCTCCGCACGTGCGTGGCACGCCTGCCCGAGCACGGCGGGTCGTGGTGCACACGCGTCTTGGCACACTCGTGCGCTTGCACGCTCTCGGTGTGCAGACTCCTGGCCTCGCCTGGCGGGCAGGCGACGGTGTACCTGCTGGTGGCGATGGCCTTCGTCCGTGGAGCCGAGGCTTCTCCGCCCGACCCTCCCCGCCACACACCCCGCCCCTGCCCTCTCCCTGCGGCCGGCGAGGACCACGGCGGGGCCCGCCGGGAGGGCCCGGCGACGGCCCCCCAGGAGGGCCGGGCGAACACCGCCAGAGAGAGGGGCGGGGGAGGAGGAGGAGGAGGAGGAGGAGGAGGAGGAGGAGGAGGAGGAGGAGGAAAAAGGAGGAAGGGGAGGAGGAGGAGGTGGAGGAGGAGGTGGAGGAGGAGGAAGGAGGAGGAAAAAGAGGAGGGGAGGAGGAGGAGGAGGAGGAGGAGGAGGAGGAGGAGAGGAGGAGGAGGAGGAGGAGGAAGGAGGAGGAAAAAGGAGGAAGGGGAGGAGGAGGAGGTGGAGGTGGAGGTGGAGGAGGAGGAGGAGGAACGCCTCTCGGAGCAGGTTTGCTCAATTGCCCCAGGAAGGCTCGCGTAGTTGCTTGATGCCCCCTCCTCGTGGCCCCGCGACAGCCCCCAGAGGCAGAAAACCGCCAGAGACGTCCCTTTTCGCGACCTCTGCGGGACGCGAGGGGCCTCGCGGCGGTCTCCCCATTCCCGTCCTCCCCGGCAGGCGCAGCCGAGGCTAGCGGCTACTTCTGTGGAGCGGAGTTGGAGCTTGACCCACCAATCGTCAGGGACGATGCGCTCCATCTCGCGGCGGGGCTTGCCGGTCACCGTGTGAGGGTATCCCGTGCTCGGTGCTCGCCAAACACCTTTCTGAGAGAAGCCCTCCTCTCCCCCCTCCCCCCCCCCCTTTCTGAGAGAAGCCCTCCTCTCTCCCCCCCCTCTCCTCTCCTCCCCTCCTCTCCTCTCCCCCTCCCCCCCCCCCAGGGGGCCTCCATCCTCACGCCACGATGCCCCCCCTCGGCGCTGAGGGGGGCGGGCGGTTCCTGCCGCTCCTCGAGACCGGGCCTCGGCGGCCGATTCGCGGCGCGGCCCCGGCGGAGGCCCTGCGGCGGGGGGCGGCCCGGCCCTGCTGGGGTCAGAATCTCCGGGCCTCGGCTCTGGGCCTCAGACAGCAGGCTCCCGCAGCGGAATGTCCTTTGCGCGCGAAGCTCCGGGCATCTGATAATGACAAGTAGCAAAACATGACGCGGCATATCCAACTAGGTAACATCTTTTATGCATAAATACGTGTATATATATATATGTGTGTGTGTGAAAGTATATGATTAATCCTATGATTCCATATGTTGGGTTGGTGGATCCTCTCGCATCCCGAAAGGGGAAACATCAAACTATAGCAAGACATATCAACACATGAAAACACAGCAACCTATGTGCATATATATATATATATAACATATAAATGACTATTTATCTCACAACTATTTTAGCTAATTAAATATCTTTGGTTGGCGGAGCCCCCGGCATCCCGAAGCATGTCAATAACTAACACTAAGATATGGAAGCATCGATTTAAGCTATATACCTGGTTGGCGGAGACTCTGGCACCCCGAAACGAAAAAATGAATCACTTAGCAACAACAAATAACCCAAGTCATGTAAGACATAGCAACACATATGGGAATCTCTGTATATATATATATACCTATATATTTGTGCTTGCTAACATAGTTTAGTGCATAGTGTTTGTATATGTATATATATATATAAATGTACAATCATAGTTCGGTTGGCGGAAATTCTGGCATCACGAAAGGATGCATATAAGCCCCCAAATAGCCAGACATATTGAACCACATGAGGCTATGTATAAAAGCGCATATTGTCAGCCATGTTTAGATTTTTCGCTGACGGAGCATCTGGCGTTCCTACAGGTGAACGGTACATCCCGAAGGAGAGAGGTCGACAAATCGTATAGATTATAGAAATGCTTGAGGACCGCGCGCGGCATCACATCTATTTGAGTTTGGGTTTCATATTTTTGCGGCGGGATTTGCTGGCATCCCGCGAGGAAGGACATTGAAACATAACATATACACATGCCACATATTAAATACATGAAAGTATGCATTTCACTTGTTTGTTCCATAACTTTGCGGCGGTGGCTTCTGGCATCCCGTGACGGAAGGGATCCGACGTCAGATGAGTAAATATGATAAACATTTTGACACGTGAGCGAATGCATGAAAACGTAGATCTCCATATTAGTGTTAAGCACTTTCTGTGGGCGGAGGTCTAGGCGCCTCGCGCGGAAATCTGTCCCACTTTCAGGTATCATGTCGTACACTTTGCCTGCGGGGTCTCTGGCACCCTGCGAGGAAAATAGTGTTAGAAGATGCCTGTGTGCATCGTGCACACTGGATCAGCACATGCAGCTGCAGAACTGTTTGCACCTTCTGAGGGCGACGCCGTCGTAACGCGAATGCCGGTTGCACTTGAAAGCCGTTATTTTCCTCACCAAGCGTGTGGGAACGGACGCACACATTGCAGTAAAGTGTCCGGCCTGCCGGGCTTCCCATCTTCTCCCTAAAAAAAATCAGCGGGCGACGCGTGTGTGCATCGTGCAGCTGCAGAGTTGTTTGCACGTTCTGCGGGCGACGCATGGCGCCGGAAGGAAATCCGAAGACCCACTTTCAATAGGCAGAGTAGAGATCGGCAGGTATCCGCTGGCGCCACAAAAAAAACATTCTGCGGGCGACGCGTGTGGCATCCGGCGAGGAAAGGAACTGCACAGCGTTTCATGCCAGCAAACGCATGGGCACCAGCGCGGCCAAAATTTTGTCCCTCGGGGCCCGCCAGGGATCGCGGGCGCGCGCGGCCCCCCTTGTCCTCCTCCTCCTCCTCCTCCTCCTCTCCTGCTCCTCCTCCTCTCTCCTCCTCCTCCTCCTCCTCCTCCTCCTCCTCCTGCTCCTCCTCCTCCTCGTCCTCCTCCTCGTCCTCCTCCTCCTCCTCCTCCTCCTCCTCCTCCTCCTCCTCCGCCCAGATCCAACGCAGAACAGCAAACGCAAGTGCGCGATCGCCGAGATGGGCGCGACCCCAGGGATCGAGGTTACAGACCGAAGTTTGGAGAACCGAGGATGGAGGACCGAAGCTTTGGGAAACGAGCCAGCACGCCAACGATGGGGATCCCGTTGGCCAGAGACGAAGCTAGCGTCGCTGGGAACAGAAGTCTGGAAACGAAGCGTTTCTCGCGTGACCACAGTCGGGTTCATGCGCGATCTAGCTTTACTAGTTGTTGCTATGTTGCAATAGCTTTAGATATCTTGCTTCGCGGGATGCCAGAGGGTTCACCAACGAAATATATTAGGTTGCGCAGTAAATGTGGAGTCATATTAGGCGATCTTGCACGCACTAACTACTCTGGCGGCATGCGATATTACCGAAAAAGGGCTGGCGGCGGCATGCGGCGATCTTGCACGCACTAACTACTCTGTGGAGTCATATTAGGCGATATTACAGAAAAAGGGCTGGCGGCGGCATGCGGCTTTTCCCATTGAGACCTTCGGTGTCGCTCCCTATGGGGCTACGAAGCTTGCGAATGGTGTTCCAGAGTGGGCTGGCGGCGGCATGCGCCCTTTCCCACTGGGGCATCCGGTGGAGCTCCTCATTGGGGCTACGCGATGTGTGCGGGGCGTGCCAACGTGGGCTGGCGGCGGCGGGCGGCCTTTCCCTTTTGGGGCCTTTGGTAGCGCTCCCTGTGGGTCCACGGAACGTGTGCGGGGTGCGCCAGAGTGCGGTGGCGGCGGCGTGCGGCCTCTCCCGATCGGGCTTTCGGTGGAGTTCCCTTTTGGGGGCCACTGCGCTACGTGTGAGGGAGCGGCGTGCCAAAGTGGGCTGGCGACGGCATGCGGCCTTTCCCCTTGGGGCCTTCGTTGTAGCTCCGCGTGGGTCCACGAAACGCGGGAGAGGTCTGCCAAAGTTGGTTGGCGGCGACACGCGGCCTCTCCCACTGGGGCTTTCGGTTGATTTCGGTGGAGCTCCCCATGGGGCCGCGAGGCGTGTGAGGGGTGTCAACATGGGGTGGCGGCGGCGCGCGGCCCTTCTCGTTGGGGCCTTCGGTGCAGCTCCTTATGGGGCTACGAAACTTGCGAGTGGTGTGCCAAAGTGGGCTGGCGGCGGCATGCGGCCTCTCCCACTGGGGTCTTCCCTTTGGGGCCACGCATCTTCTGCGGGGCGTGCCAACGCGGGCCGGCGGCGGCATGCGGCTTGTACCATCGAGGCCGTCGGCGGAGCTCCCCGTGGGGCCGCGAGGCGTGTGAGGGGTGCCAAAAGTGGGCAAGCGGCAGCAGGCGGCCTTGCCCAGTGTGTTGCGGCACGCGGCCGTCCCCACAGGGGGCCCCATCGGGGCCGCGAGGCGCGTGAGGAGTGCGCCGAGACGGCGAGGCGTGGCGGGCAGAAGCCGCGACTGGGGGGATGGGGGGGGGAGAGGGGGATAAGGAGGAAGGAGCGCGGGGCTCTGCGCATTCAAAGCAAGGGTCCAACACCACAGGATGGTGGGGGGAAAGAACGAAGCAGAACATCCTTCCCCCGAGTCACCCCCTCGGCCAGAGCCCGTTCAAAGTGCGCCCGGGGGCTTTTCGTCCGGCCTGCGTTTCTGTCTGGGGGCCAAGCTTGCCGAAGTCAGCCTGGATGGGCGGAGCCGGCGATGGTTCCGCACCGATGGCCAGGGGCATCTTGCCAGGAGGAGGAGGAGGAGGAGGAGGAGGAGGAGGAGGAGGAGGAGGAGGAGGAGGAGGAGGAAAGGCCGCCACCGAAAGGTTCAGGGCGGGGTGGGAGCCCGCGGCGAGCGGACACCTGGCCCCGGCGGGGGCGCCGCGGCAGCGGCGGCGCGACGGGCGGGCCTGCCTCGGCCCCGCCGACGCCTTTGATACTTCCAGCCGACCTCCTCCTCTCGTCCTCCTCCTCCTCCTCCTCCTCCTCCTCCTCCTCCTCCTCCTCCTCCTTCCGTAGCCATTTTGGCTCAAGGCTGATGCTTCCGCGGGCTGAGCCCGCATTGGCAAGACTGGATACCGCTAATCCGCGGCAGGCAAGGCCACTTGTGGCCTGGCGTTCCTTTTCCACATACTCCCACTTTCTCTCGGCATGGCTTGGCGTGGCAATGCTCCCTGGCGTGGCGATGGCCGCCGCAACCAAGGAGGTGATGCGCCCAAAGGTGGATGGGTCTGGCAGGATGACATGGACGCAGCCACCCCCAAGCCCAAGAACAAGAAGAAGAAGCAGAAGGACCTCTCCTACGGTGTCTGCAGCCTCTGCGCGCACTGGGAGTTCCTCTACCATGGCCACCGCGCATGCAGCAGGTGCGGTGGCCAGTACCTACCGTCTGCTGCACATGATGGTGATGTGGTTGATCCTTGTCCTGGAGGGGCTGCACCGGGTGCTGCTGCGGTGCCCATGCCACCCCATCTTCTCCAAGAGCTTGAACGGTGGGCTGCGCACTACCCCGCTCTTGCTGGCGTCGCTCGTGAAGCAGCTGCGCCGCCGGCCCCGCCGCTGCAGGAGTATACTGACGTGGAATTGGATCGTATGGCAGCTGCGGAACAGACTTCCCTCGCCAAGACCGTCGAGCAGGCCACCAAGGCCGAGCGCCTGGCGCACCAGGAGGTGCAGTGGCGGCTGGACAGGTTCAACAAGGCGAAGAAGCATATGGACGAGGCACAGAGCTTGCACTTGGAGGCGGTACAGGAGCTGGAGCAGGCTCGAGCCACCACTCGTGAAGCTAATGAACGTAAGGCCTCATTCGATGTACAGACCTTCAAGAAGGAGAAGCGTCATGAAGTTGAGCAGCGCCGTCGTCAGCGTGCCGCCGAAGAGGCTCGTGCTGCCGCGGATGCTCGCGCTGCTGCTTCAGTGCCCCCCGCCGCTGGCCTCCTCGGTGCAGCACCCGCCACCGCCCCAGCGGGCGTTGCGGCCGCCTCTCGTGCCCCAGGCACTGGAGACGCGGCCGCCGCGGGAGCAGGTGCCCAGGCCAGCGGCGGCGTGGAGGCGCAGCCCATGCAGGAGCCA